AGAACAGCTCTTGCAGGTCTGTGCTTATCACCCTGCCAACAAGTTTGAGCATGAGGGTGGCTGGGTTCTACACTCTGAAAACAGGGGCAGGGAGGGAGTGTGCTCTGATCTTCTCGGTACTCTGTGGAGCAGGTCAGCCCTTTTAACCTTCTGAGCTGCGAGAAACGACCTACAGGAACATCTTGTTGGTGATCCTTTAGAGAGCAACACGCCGCCCTGCCTCTAAAGCGATGCCCTTGTGGGATGCTCATGTTGCATGTCGCTGCTCGTTACCCAAATGAGATGTGACAGTTGCCCGCTGAAGCTCCTGCAGGACTTGCTGACGGTTGATGTAGGACATTTCCACCGGTCTTGTAATAAGAGGCTTTTTGTCTGTCGCGTCACGAGGTTGCAGTAACTGTTCCGAAGCAACCGGTGTGTCTGTGTGTGGCAGTGTGACGGGGTCTTCCAGGGCACAGGCGTGCAAGCGCGGATTGTAAGCGCGTGCTGTCCTTAGCTGACCTGAGTTCAGAGCTGCTGCCAAAGGCAAAGATGCTCAGCCCTTCTGAAAATTAGTGGGTTTGCAGTGAAGTGCTGTCCTCTGTGACTGCGCACAATGGATAGCTACTGCTTTGTAAGGATTAAGAAGTTTTTATTTTAATGCCAATTATGTAAACTTGGTGTCTTGTATCTTTCAGATTCTTCTTGTGGCACTTCCAGAATAAGCTGTAAAACTGAAGGCATTGCAATGACTATCGGGAGTTAACCTTTCTTTCAGTGACCTAAGCTTAGACATCTAGGTCTATAAATGCTTTTATAGATGTTTAAAACAGGGTTTGACATTTGTGACCACTATGGGGTTATTTAAAAAAACACAAAAAACAAAACAAAAAACAATAAAACCTCTTGCATCTAACACTTGAATGGGGCTAATCAGGGGTCATTTCAAAGAAGCCTTTGTAGGAATTCTAGGACTTCAGAAATGAAATAAAACTGTAAGTAGAACAGAATTTTAGATTGTCCTAGAATTTTCCATATTTTTGTACCTGTTCGTTGAATCGGTGGAGTAAAATGGAAATAGAAATGTTACAAAGTTCTGCTAAAAGGAAATAGGGTTGGCTAAGGATTAAAAGCGAAGCTAAATTTAATGCCCCTCAAGTAACTGCTTTATTGGTTCAGTGCTATCCCTTTCATTTCTCTGAGAGCAGAGTTTGGGTGGTAGAGGAGATGGAATAAAGTCTGTAAAGTCCTGAAAAAGAGAACTGTTTTGTGTCTTTGTATTAAATGTTAACAACATTGTTAAATAAACTAAGATTTTTGTATCTCACAACCAACTCTGTGTTGCAGCTCTCAGTCTTTTACTTCAGCAAGCAGCTGGCAACTCTGAGCAGATGTCCCTTCAGTTTTTAGCACTCTCTTCTATAACAAAAAAGTCTAGGGAAGCCATTTCCATCATTTACCTGGATGTGAGAATAAAAGGGCAGAACATTTGCGGAGTGCGCCTCTAAGAATTAGTCTGCAACACATCCCAAACTTAGGAACCCGGCTTTAGATTGCTAAGAGTGTGGTCCTGCTGGAGCTTTTACTGTTTCATATCTCTGCATGGTGGTGTATTTGCCATGGGGTGAGGGCAGCAAATTTCGGGGGTTTTTCCCCCCCAATACTCAAATGGAAGTCTGATATTACACTTGTTCCACTTTCATTTGATTTGAAGTTGACTTGTGAATTGTTTTTCAATATGATTATGTTGGTCTATGAATAGTTTTCTTTACCAGTCCTACACTTTTGGAATAGTACTGAGCGGTCCTGCCCTGCTTAGCATGTTGGGATGTGGTTTGTTTTCAAGGTATGTGAAAATTGTAACTGCTTTTTGTTGAGTATTCATTAGGAATGCCAGTCAAATTAGTGATGCTTTAATAGCATCGTGAACTATTGACGTTGCTGATAAATGAAGTTTTTAGCATGTTACAGAACAAGGCATTCTACAAGAATGTCTTTCCTGGTCCTTTTATATGCATATATGTTTATGGAAATGTATGCATGTTTTTGTTGGGGATACAGAGTAACAAAGGAGGGTACAGAGCGATGCTTTAGGGTTTGCACTGGGATTTGGAGAATCTTCACATGGTGAGATTTTGGGACAGCTAAAACTCTACCAGCACCATAGTTTAGGAAAGAAGGTTCATACAATTCTAAATTACCGTTCATGAGTTAAAACAGACTGGGGTTTTTTGGTTTGGGGTTTTGGTTTTTTTTTTTTTTTTTTTTGTGTAAATCTGGGTTGTTGGACTATGGTCTTTCTATTGTTTTTCATACTCAGCTGCAGACTACCTGGCACATACCCTGGCAGATGGGCACAGTTAACCTGCAGGGCAGCTGGACTACACTCAGCTCCTCTCAGTACTCTCACACTATCTCTGAGCAGTAGGAAGCTCCAGAGGGAGAATTTGTTTTGTACTAATGCAGAGCTCCAGGAGCAGGCATTTTATGATGCTTCCAGTCAAATTGATGGAGCAAGATTAATTCCGGTCAGGCAGAAACAAACCTGGATGAGCCCTGAAGGTAGTGTTGAGAAGTGTCTTGTGTGGATTTACAAGTTTTATTTTTAATAAAACTTTGTATTTAAGGTATGTGTAAGTGTTCTGGGAACACTTATACTTCATAAGCATTCATTACTTTGAATGAAAAATGCTGATTTTTGTCTGTACTACCAAACCCAGTTAAATTCTTCAGTTCCTAACAGTTTTAGTTTTCATTCTTCCTGCTTTTTTTTTTGCTTTTGTTTTGCCTTAATTTAGTAAATTTAAGGCTTGTCCATTTCTTACTGATTTTTTTTTTTTTAATTCTACTTCTAGTGGCTATAAATAGAGCAACTACTTGTTAGTCACTCAGATTTGTACCAGTTTTTTTAAAACTATATGTTATGCCAAAATAAACAATGTAGATATACAGAAGTCAGATCTGACCTCTTTGCTTTATGGACTTTGCTTTTGCAGGCTGTCCAAAATGACGTGGAAGTAGGGCCTCTAATCTAACAAATCTTGTCTGCCTGTAGGTTTGTATCTCTGCTTCCTCTTTTCCTTGGCCGCCTGTTTTTATGCTCTTTGAGGTTTATTTTTGAGACCTTTACCCTGTGGGCCTCATGGGCTCAAAGGAGACATGCAAATCAGTTCATTATGTAAGGCTCATTTCTGTAAGAAATGAGGCTAAAAACTGGGCTTGAGTACACCAGTAAAGGCAAAGTCCCAGGGAGGGGGAAAAGAAAAAAGTAATCTGTAAGGGATGGATCACTTTAAAAATAGGTGAAAGGGATAAAAAGCAAGAAAGAGACAGGTAGAAGCCTCCAAAACATGTTTCAGAAGCAGTACATGGCATAAAAGGATGTGTTTTTCAGAGGTCTCGTGCATCGGGTTTCTGTTCTAGCAGCCCTCTGTGGCCAAGTTATAAGTAAGCGGGTGAATGTAAAACCAGCTACAGGATTGCACCTTACCAGGCTCACAGCGTGGTGGGGCATAGTCCTTGCCGTGAAGTTTTACCAAGGGTGAGTTTCCTTCAGGAGGCCTACTCGCACTGGTATCGAAGAGCTGCTGAGCGATAACCTAGCAGTTCTAGTTCTCTTTGGCGTATTGGCAGGCTACTTTATTTTAACGACTGAATACAGGGTCACGGATAAGAATCTTTGCTATGAAAAGCATGTTCAAACAGTCGATTTCATTCTGCACTATAATCTTAAAGGTACCTTGGAAAGTTAAAATGAAAAAAGATTTTATTGCAACAGGTAAGAAATTACATGGAAATATTTACTTCCCGAACTCTTGCAAAAAAGATAGCTGACAACAGTAGCTGTTTAAGACTTGGTTCAGAATTTTACTGTGGAAAAAACCCTGATTCCCTCCCTTTGTCTTAGAATATGGTCTGCAAGGTGACTTGGGTAATGAGTTGAGGCGCCTACTACTGAGATCTTTGTAGAACTTGTTAACCACCTCTCCTTTCAAACCTAGTGACTATAAAGTTGAAAAAATTAATTTAGTCTTAAATTTGAAAAATATATTTTGGTGTATATAAATATGAAGAGGCATCTGGAAGAAGAAACTTCATTCTAGAAACAGAACTTTAGGGGATGGTACCTATCAGTGCTCTTCACCTCAGCTAATGCTATAAAGGGTGTTTGTGCCAATTTGGGTATGTAGCTTTCCTGTGGTTTTAGCTCTTATTTATTCTCTTGTATTGCAAGTTCATTTATTTCAAGAAAAGTATCTGATAAGAGTTCATAAAATCAAGGACAAATCAAGTTCCACATGATTATCGTTATATACTGTGTTTTGCTATGTGAAAAAGCAGCAGTAATCTCAGATAAAGTAGGGTTTGGGGCGGGGGAGGTTGCCCAAAATGCACTTTTGTGTGTGTGTGTGTACAGAATTTTATGGTACTTTATTACCGCTCTTTTCAACTAAGACAAACACTCAATAGACTATAGTGAGACAGGATGGGGCAGAACCTTCTGGAAAGGAAGCAAGGGGGTTACTTACCTGCACTCGGGTATAATTAAAACAATGCTGGTCCTACAGACTTTTACTTTTGGTGTAGGGTATCTCTAGAATAGAGCTGTGGAGACTCTTCTAGGGAGTAGAGTAGCCTTTCTTCCTCTTGGAGGTATGTATATTGCAAGTAGGAGTATGATGAGGTCACTAAAAGAATGAAATCTTCAGCTCCTTTTTTGCAGGTGCCTTCTATGGGAAGAAATCCGATAAAATCAAACCTTGAAAGGTCTGGGTGTTTGTCTAAAATTAGTTTTGCATGCTGTTGTAATAAAGGTCAGCAAATGGCACTTAGGGCTAAAGTGACAAAGTTGCAATGCTTTAACAGTCCTGTACATTCATATGGCTTAACTGAAAATGTTGGCAGATACTCTCAAAATCCCAATATGCTATTACAAAATAAGTATTTAAATACAAAGTTGTAAGTCAAATATTTCAAACATGAAATCTGAAAATACAGCTGAAAGGTGGCGTGGAAGTCGATGTCAACAGTTTTCTGAAAGCTTCATATCTGCAGGTGTTGAAAGTATTTTTTTTAATGTAGTACTCCTAGATTTCAGAATTTGATGACTCAGGATATCCGAGGAAGGATTTCATCCCATATAAAAGCCACAACTATTGTACCTGAAAAGAGAAATTACAGAAAGGACCTTTATTTAAATGTATTTGAGAAGGACACGGTACTGGTAATGTTTATTTTCAATATGTTCAAGTATTTGAGTGTCTAACATGCAATACAGCAGGGAATTGCAGAAAAATGGAATTATCTGTCAAAAGGGCTAGAGGCAGTCAGTGCTTTTTGCAAACACAATCTTTTTTCACAAGGAAAGCTTCCAGACTGTGCAAGTGATCCTTACGAGTTAATAATCTTGTTTTTCTTTGTGTATTTAATGCTTTAATTCTGATCTGTATAAGCCAAAGGCAGAGCAGTTTGACCAGGTGAATCCAACACGTGCACCTTCCTGTTGCTGTATCAGGCCTCCTTTCTTTGTAGCTGGATGTGTAAATGACTGACCCAGCAACTAAACTTCCATTCCTCAGCCGACAGGATAAGGCTGAGTTTGCTAGCAGTATCTGTTTTGATAACCGCATTGGTTTTAGCTGCTGCAAATGGATATAGGATAGCGGGGCTTTTTTTGGAAGATCACTCTAGTTTAGGGTTTATTCTGAGGCTGAAAAAAGGTAAAGGTAGAGGTTGTAGGTTCTTCATGAGAAGGGCACCTAAATACAGTATATTAAGACTTTTTTTTTTCTCCTGGAAAAAAAATAGTATATTCTGTTTCAGAAAGGGATTCTGGTTGAGAGTGTTTTATTTTATGAATGCTTGTATTTTATGAAGCTTCCTAGATCACAAAAAGGCTTATTGGAGGGGGTCTCCAGTCCAATCTCCCACTCAGTGCAGGACTGTTGCCTATGCTATATAGGTCAGTGTCCCGAAAAACCTCCACAGATGGAACGAGACTGTAGCACTTCTCCAGAAAACTTGTTCCACTGCTGCTGCACCCTTCTCCTAAAAGTTCTCCTGGAGTCTAACCTGGACCTCCCGCACCTCAACTTGTGGCCTTGCTGTTGTTACATTGTCTGCCAAGACCCAGAACAGTTCATCTCCATCATCCTTGCAAGTACTCTTCAAATAACCATTGACTGCTCTTTGACCTCATCTTCATCAGCTTAAATGAGCCCAGTTCCCTCATCCTCTCCTCACAGACCAGGTATTCTAGGCCCTTCACCGTCTTGGTAGTCCTCCACTGGACCCTCTCTGTTCTCCACATTCCTCTTGAACCGGGGGACTCTAGGCCAGCCATGTTCCAGAGGCCACCTCACAAGTGTTGAGTAGAGGGAGACCATGATCTCCTGTAGGCTGATGGCCCCAATTCTGAATCATGGAGTTTGTCTTGAAGAACAAACTGTTGTAGCAAACTCACGTTCAGGCCACTGTTGAACGTGCTGAGGAGTACCAACTCCAATACTGACACCAGGATACTCTGCATTTTACTGGCCATCAATCAACAAGATGTCAACCCATTACTACATTTTGAGGTCAGTGGTTTGGCCAATTTTTATTCCAGCTAACAGTCTTTTTTGTGTGACCCCCTACTTTGACTTTGAACCAAGAATGCCGTGGAAGATGGTGTCAAAAGCCTTACTAAAGTCAAGGTATACATCCACTGCTCCCTGCTCATTCCCATAGACATTCATTTAATCACAGAAGGCAATCAAGCTGGTCAGCCATGGCTTGCCCTCGCTAAATCTGTGCTGACTGTTCCTGATTGATTACCTCTGCAGTTTTTACATGGTTGGAAATGGATTCCAAGACAAGATACCCCACTATCTTCCCAGTGACTGAGGTAAGACCAATGAGCTTATAGTTCCCTGGCTTCTCTTCCTCCTCCTCTTCCTTATAAAAGCAGGCATGGTATTAGCACATTTCCAATTGTCAGGAAGCTCCTCCAACTGCTGTAACTTCCCATAAATGATGGACAACAATAACATTGGCCAACTCCACCTGCATTTTTCGGTGAATCCCAGTAAAGCCAATGGATTTGCGTTCATCCAGCTTTTCTGTCATGCTTACCTTGTCGCTCCCTCACTAAACAGAGGTTTAGGAGCAAACTTTGCTTGGGAACACTGGGCAGGGAGGGGGAAGAGTACCTCAACCTTTTTCATGTCACCCATCACTAGAGGTTGTCTTCCCCATCCACCAATGGGCTGCATTTTCTCTGGACTTTTTTTGTGATTAGTATATTTATAACCCCGTATGTCCCTAGTTTTAGTTTCATCTGAGCTTTAACATTCCTGATTTTGTTCCCAAATACACGTGCAAAGCTTTTATACTCCTCCTTTGCTGCCTGTCTCTGTTTCTACTTCTTACATGCTCTCCTTTGCTCATTGGGAAGCTTCTTGTCTAGCCAGCAGGGAAAGGCTTTGTGTCAAAATTCCCAGTCTAACTACACGACAGATTGTTCCTGCACATCAAAACATGTTACTGAGCTCTCACTAAGCTTTTTTGAAAACTCATCCTTCCATAGGATACTTCTGCCATTTGTGGCAGCTTCTGAGGGAATTACTACTGACCTAGCAATTCCCTAAATAAGGAGAATTTTGTTCTCCTGAAGTCCAAAGTCCAAACAGCTCTGCTATTTACCTTCCCAGGCTTCCCTGACCCTGAACTCTTGTGAGGACTACAACCCAAGTGGCCACATTCACCACCTGTTCTTCCCTGTTTGTGAGCAGGTCAAGTACAGAATTAGCACTCACTGGCCCTTTAGTACTTAAATTAGACTTGATTAGTGACCGTTTTCTAGGAACCTCCGGGACTGCATTCACTCACTGCATAAGAGTTTTGTTCTGTCAGGTGATGTCTGCATACTTGAAAACCCCTAGAAGCACCAGGGTCGGGGAGTAGAAGACTTCTGCTACTTGTTTGTTGAAACTCTCCTTTGGTACCAAGTACCTGAGATGCCAATCATTTTGCTGCACATGGACTTGCAATTCTTGTTTCTTTGCGAAGCTCCATGCTTAAGTGTACTGAACTTGACGGAAACCTCTGAATACCCTCTCCTCTGAGCAGAAAGGTGAACGTTTCACCTGTAGTCTTCCCCCTTGCTTATCTCCTCCATTTATGTCTACTGCTAAGCAACTTTTGTGGCACTTACTTTCTATCCTATCATAGAATCATAGAATGCTTTGGGTTGGAAGGGACCTTTAGAGGTCATCCAGCCCAACCCCCCTGCAGTGAGCAGGGACAGCTTTAACAGGTTGCTCAGAGCCCCATCCAACCTGACCTTGAATGTTTCCAGGGATGGGGCCTCCACTGCCTCTCTGGGCAACCTGTTCCAGTGCTTGACCACCCTCATTGTAAAAAATTTCTTTCTTATGTCTAGTCTAAATCTATTCTTCTTTAGTTTAAATCCATTATTCCTTGTTCTGTCACAGGATGGTGATCCTGATGGTGAAAAAACATTTCCTTCTAAGGAACAGTATTAGTCTTTCTGGTAAAACTGGTCTAAAGAAGTGGCCATTGATTCTGTTTTTGTAGTGTTTGAAACCTAGCAGGAAGCTAAGCTGGCACCTGTCCAGGAACGAGCATCCCCTTTTATTGTCCTCATGTCCAGTACCTTGCCACCAACTCTTCCATTCATAGCTGCCATCTCCCTGGTACTGAAAGAGAAGCATTAGCTTGGTCCCCATCATTACTAATGATATAATCATGCCTGGACAACTAACAAACTCCTTTGGCAGTAAAACAGAAACTATCTTTGTTCCACTTGTGCTTACTGCTTCAGTGTTCACAGTGCAGGACTGAGGCCTGCCTCTGCTAAGTCATAAACACTTGCTGACATCTATATGAACTACAGGAATTAGCTGTTTTAATGCTACTGGAGAACCACCTTCACCAAAACATCAGTGAAGTCATTTTGAAAAATGAGTTCTTAACTACAGTTCCAAGATTATATTCGTGAAAGACCATAAACCACCAGTAGCTTTGTTTATCCTAAAAGAAAACTTCCACTTCCTCCTCCTCTTGTGAAGGTGATAATCAGTCTTCCTCTTGTTCTAAGTGTCCTTTGAAACAATTTTCTTAGAAAGTTGATGGTTAGGAACTCGCTTATAGCTAGATCCAGGTATCTGTTACATACTGAATGGTCTCGGTCTCCTTGTCCTCATGGGTATTTGCTATGGCCATAAATGAAGTCATATTGCACTTTGCACAGGCAATTTGAAGTTTCATGGTATGCTAGTCCATGGTTCTGCATACGGTAGTTATTACAGCAAATCACAAAAAAAATGTAATAGACTCCTAAAAGAATTCCCCTAGATAAGAACAAAGTAATTTAGCCATCTAACATGCTGATGCTGGGAAAAATAAGACATCAAATTAGCATATCGCTATGACCCTGACAGTTTCGAGGAAGTCTGAAACAGTATTTCTGCTGATGCACGGATTCTGAAAGTATGCACGGATTCTGAAAGTAATTTTTACAACTAAATTTAAAATATCCCTTCCCTCATTATCTGCTTTTATCATTCTGCTTAGAGGTTCTTTTCACAAGAATTTTATCATCATCATAACAGGTCATTTTCCTAGATGCCTCATGATTTGGTCCAATTTTGGAAGAGAGATGTTCTATTCCTATTATTTTCTTATTTTCAAAAAGTGTCAGAAGTATTTAATTTCATGTTAGATTTGTAGATCTGCACGCCTGTATTCATTGATTCATTTCAAATACAACTATCTCCTCTTTACTTCCACCTCAGATATCTCACATTTGTTCACAACTCTTGGTTTATAAGATAAGGTCTATATGTATCCATAAAGCTCCCTTGTTTTTTAAAGAGATATTTATGTAGCAAATAGACTACTCAGCCTTTCAGGTGATCCACAAACCTGAGATCTGAAACAAAATGTTTGGCTACAGTAGCGACACTGCACAAGAAGTGATGCGTCCTGAGTATTCACATCTTTACAACTGCTTGGTCTGGAGTTCCTTTCCCTCATTAATTAAGGGACAGCATTGAGTACATTCTGTATGTATTTTCTATACGTTAACTTAACAATAAACCACTGTTTATGAATTTTCACAGAAATGTAACATTACTCCCTAACCGCATTCTAAATTCCTCAAGTCACGGTTCCATTGGAGTTAACATCTGCTGATTTTCTTAAGTCAAAATTGCCCGAAGGCTTTCTGCAAAGCAGTTCTGCAGGATGCATCTTGCTAAATGAGTAGAACACTGTGTTTCAGAACACCTTCTGTTTCTTTAGATCGCTTGCGAAAATATTAAATCCCAAGTACTTACAACCTGGAAAATCTCAAAATGCTTATCAGCTTGAAATCAGTTAATATACCAGAAAGCTAAACCTGAATTCTGAGAAATACGGTGTGTTCCCTTAGGAGCCAGGTGATGCTCATCAGCTTTGCCTAAGACATCTCACTAGCTACTAACTGGAATGGTGCATGGGCTTTTAGCAAGCTTACTCTATTGTTCAGTCATCCCGTTTGGATATCTAATTTACACAAAATTATATTAAAGTGAATTTTAGTTAGACTAAAAATTCTGTCTCCATTTTTGACTGACTGAGAGTCAATGCAAGTAGAACATGCACAGACATGAACTCAAACAAGAAAAAGAGGTTATTTGTTGTAACTGGAGCCCTTTGAGATGTTTCCTGTGTACATTTCACAGCTGTTGTACCTTCACTGTTGTACCTTCTAATAGGATTAACAGTCATGAAAGAACTCAGGATTAGCAGACTGCTGCTTTATATACCCTGTAAGCAGAAAGCTCAAGATTTGTAAGGACTAACTGTAAACAATCAACAGCATGAAGTATTACATGGAGCATTTTCATCTGCACACAACTAGAATTTAAAATCAATAGCTTCTAAATTAAAACCATAATTAAAGTTAGAAAAAATCCAGTTACTAATATTCTTTAGTCTTAAACTAAGAACAGACTGTTTCCAACAGCGACTGGGGAAAAACATAGAATGGCAACTGCAAAGTTTAGACACTATGGAGATAAAAAGATTTGATATTATAATAGTAATAACTGAGAGAGCGTATTTTGAGCACTTGTCCCAATACCTCTGTTTTGGGTTTGGTTTTTTTTTTTTTTTTAATTAATCATTCCCATGTTCTTGTACACTGTCACGAAATGAGACAGAAAGTGCATGCTAACCAGTATGTTTCTCCTTCTGAACTTGATCAGGCTAATACTTACTTTCAGGTATCCTCTTCTCCTTTTTAATATTCTGCTAGAATCTACAAGTGGACCTTCTGTCAGTGTCAGAATTTATAGTATACCGCAAACAGGCTAGATTTTAATACCAAGGCATAAAGTCCCAAACAACAGGCAGCTTCGAAAGGATCATGCTCTGGAGTAAACAGCTGTTGATTTATAACTAACTAGTTAACCCTAACCTAAACGCTAACCTTTTTCCATTTAGCATTGTGCTGTTGTGGTTTTTCACTAGGTACATTTTCTTGCTCAAAGTATCCCAAAAGTACTTAGACTCGAACATGACATCTAAACTAAACAATTATACAACCTAATATGGTTCTTTCTTTAAAGAAACTGATCAAAACAGTAGATATTATTTTGTGAATAAAACTGGTGTTTAAAACTCAGTATCAGATGCTTGATTCACAAAACAGAGTGCTACAGGTGCTCTACACAGAGCATTAAACAAGTTTAAAATACACAGCCTAAATCTGCAAAACAGATCCATGATTTTGGAATGACTTATACACATAAGTTATAACTATTTTCTGGATTTTATTTACAGCAGAAAACGAGCAGACTATCAAATAAAGAATCCCTATTTCCTGAGTTTTGAACCATGTACTAAATAATACTTTCTCAAATACATAAAACATTAAGAACTTACCTAAGGACGGTGCTATCCAATACACTAGTGAGTAACTCAAAAATTTGTCATAGAAACAATTTGCATGTAATGAAAAAGCCAGTGCGGGGTTAAATATTGCTCCTGTCAGATTTCCACCTGCAATACAAATGTAAACAATATGAAATCAAACCATCTTTCTTAATATTTATTTTAAATTAATATTGAAATGGACATGCACAATACTACAAGAAATGTACACCCTGCAATAAAATGAATTAGCAGAAATCATTTAAACAGATAAACTCTTGTGAAGTTATTTACCGGATGATATGTTTAACGGTTTAACTGTTTTCTAAAATGCTTTAAAATATCTGAAGTGTAGGCTATAACTTCCTTTATTGCTTTCTAGTGCATATTCTTTGAAGAGATGGGTTTGGCTAGTGTTGAACATTTCTACTGATAAAACTGTAAGCTGCTTTACTGATAGCCTGTATCATGCTTTTAGAAGAGACAGAAATTACACAAATATTAGTAAACAAATACTGGCTTTCATTACATCCCCTGTCGTATGTAACACATAATGGAAAAAACCGTCAAGTGCTGTTCTTGCTAAGCTGACCTCTGTACGTTCTTATTAGAACACTAATATTATCCTATCCATTTAGAGAACACTAAGATTATCATATAGTAGTAACTTGGGGAACAGCCTTCACAGTCATTCTATATGCTATTTGAAGAAAATAAAAGCAAACGCCGCTCCACTCCCTTGAAAAAGGAAGCTTAAAGAAGCCAAGCATCTTTCCTTGCCTCCAACTTCAGATGTCAATGAAGTTGCCTAAACATTCTCTAAATAACTTGATCTGAACATAGGACATTGTGGAGACTAAACTGTAATTACACTGCAGATGAACCTGGAGGTCAGGGGTTTTAATTCTGACATAAGTTGTTTCGCTCATGGCAATCCTGCAGAAAAACATTACTTAGAGCAAAATTTTTGGTATTTCTGTACTATTAGTTACTAACCACCCCATCTCTGTTTTATCTATTAATCTATTCCCATAAAATATTATATAACCGTGTCTATTTAGTTTCTTAAAGCTTATTCTTGATTTTTCCCAAGTAAGTTAGCGCGAGCTTGGAACTTACCCTTTGTACGAATACCACGCTGCTGTAATCCTCATTTGTTATGAGCATGCAATCATTTACCGAAAGTTTTAGTAAGGTTTTTGTCATTCTCCTGTATTTCTCTTTCTATATACTCATTATTTCTCTTACCATTATTAGAGTTCGGGAAGGTTTTAATCTTTGTTGACCTACTCAGTTTACTCTGGTTTTACACTTGTACTCAACAGCAACTCAGATTTACTGTGCAGTCTGTTATTCTGCACGTTGACACATTAACAACTTCCACTGTTGCCAGGAAGGCGATCTACAATAATTTACTTTGCTTTGATCTGTTTATGAATTCACTGCTTCTGCTTGTATATCCACAAACATATTTACGAGTAGAATTTCACTCTCAGGAGGCAGTTGCTGTTTCTGAACATTAAAAACCAGAGTTTTAACTTCTGTATTTCTTCAGTATTCGTTACTAATAACTACTGGAATCTCAACCGTAGGCCAGGGCCACTAGTATAATCTTATTTTAAAATATTTATTAAACATCTCAGTCTGTTTACCAGAGAAGAGACATGATTTTATGGCAAAAGAAGAGTAACATCTTTGCTACTGTACACATAAAAACTTAAAAAGGTGAAGTAATGTGTTCTCCACACAATGTGCGAGAAAGTAATTTTAACTTTTGAAATTAGTGAAGGCAAAACCAAAATTAGGAAGAAACTGGGAATTAAAAATCTGGATGTGAGTTTTACCTTGATATGTTAGACTCAGAAACATCTAACCAATTTCATACAATTCTGACTTAATTGTAATATTGCTTGCAAATGAAAAAGTCCTCAAAAGGTGTATTTTTTTTCTTTCCTCTAATTAAATATTTTCCCAGGAAATATCAAAAAACATTCCTTATCAACATGTGTATGGTCTGCATCCTTAACTTCTGAATCATTTCCTTAATAGGCAAAGACATAATAGTCTCTTTTTCCTTCTATTCAGTAGAAGAAACAGTGAATGCACTACTGGAGCTTTTGTGTACAGTATGCGCTATTATAAATATTTGGTCTGTGTAAGTCTATATGTAAAACCAATCCAAATAATTTTAACTATGAAAAAGAAAAACTAAAGGGACAGCTTGTCATTTGGAAAATACTTACTGTATAATCTGATGCTATTTGTTGCATGGCATACTTAACTACCTTTTATGGGGTACACACAACAGTGACTTGTCAACATTTATTCTAACTTTACTTAGTCAACCAAATAAATACAATTTAAAGTTTCTGAGTCCTGTATGTGTATCAATATATTTAGACAGGTGTAAGCCATAGGGATACGGCTATCCTTCAAAATTTTACCCAAACCAGATTTGATATGGACTAAGAGATACTCCTTCTTGCAGTTCTTTTTTAGATGCCAATCATTCCTCTTACAGGATACAGCTTTCAAACATATAGTAGAATATAATTCATGGAATGAAATATGATATACTATATGTGAGATGTATTTTCTAACATTTCTAGTTCATTCATAACTGTAATAAACCCAGATCCTGAAGGCACAATTGATTGGTTTGGTTTTTAAAATCAGAGTGTAAAAAGAAATCATTAGCATAATTCATTTTGTAAATTTAATGCACCTTTCTGACTTCCTAGCTAGAACACTCCATCTGTCAAATTGAAGTTTGAAGAAATCATTATTCATAAAATATTCTGAACTACTGGCTATTTTTGTAGGAAGAAGGAAGAACGTTACCGGTTTGCCTAAACTAGCATTGCTTTGCCTAAATTTGGGCTGGTTGCCTAGCCCTTTGGTGCTGGCTGAGCAAGAACAATCCATTCCTCTTAAAGAGGTGCTCAAGTGCCTTATATACAGTTAGTGAAGAGGTGCAGAAGATTTCCTGAGAACGATCCAGCCCAGCTAAGTTAAGCATCTGCCTGTCTTCAAAGCCCATAGATGAGAAGCCGGAGGCCACCATCTCCAACACCTGATTTGGAACTCACTCTTCCTACTGCTGCTATGAAGCACCGTTTCTCAAACTGGAGGCGGAACAGACATGGTTAGGGCTACACCACAAGACCCACAGGATATACTGTGGGTCGTATATATGCACCAGACACAGGTCGTGACCACCTACCAGGCCCTTCACTATTGCCTCAGCTACTTGGCAATGCTGTCTGGAGGCTGAGCGGCTGTGGGAAGGGGGTCCCAATCAGCAGCCTCAAAATAGAGGGGGCAGGAGAATGGCGGATATCCTGGGGAGCGTTTGTGTGTAGATGTGGGCAGAAGAAAAGAGGCAGCAAGAAGGGTTTGAGAACCTCCAAGGTGTCCTACGTGAACCTACCCAACCTTCCACCAAAAAAGAGATCTGTTAGAGTGCAAGCCTGTGACTTCATCACACAAAGAAATTAATAGCAGCAGCCTGCTCCCACACTTGTTGTATAAGAGCTCAGTGATAGGAATCTCAGGTTTTATGCCCTCCTCTACTTCACGGGGCTTCAATCCACGTGTCAGGAGTGCACAGTAAACACCGGGCTCAGGACTACTGCAGGGGGAGGACGGCACTTCTCACCTTTCCTTTTGAACCTGAGCGTACAGCAAAGAGTGCAAATCTTACAAAGCTTGGAGCAGAGCAAACGAGAAAGAATTAGATTTTCCACTAAGGAGGGGATAAAACTAGATTCAGGATCTGCTCTCTAGGATGCAGATATATTTTTATAGTAGACTTGATTCTAGATTAAAAGAAATGGAAAGAAAAATGTCCAGGTAGCACAGGGTGTTCTGCACAGGACACAGCACGAACTCTGCATGCGAAAGAGGCCTGGGCGCAGTAGGTCTGGTGTTTCCTAGAAGTACCTGCAGGTGGATCGCACTGGATAGTCGTAAGCCCAAGTTTATGGTAAGGAAGGGGACGCAGGACGCAGCCTGCTCCCGATAGAAAAAGATATGAGGCCAGCCCGGCCAACAACACTGGGCATGAATTCTCTGTATGAACTAGCAAAGAGAAAGGCAATGTGACACGTATTATTTTGCTAAGCAGGAAAGGAATGTTAAGAATCAGGAATCCAGCTTTCTATGCTTGTAGAAGAGGTAGGATAATCTTTGGCTACGCTTTTACTGAGCGATTCAGAAATATATTTAATGTGCTAAAATGCATTGACACCTTGCCTCTGCCTTCAAATACTAATTTTAGAAAGTAGTTCAAATCGCTAAGTTAATTCTCAGAATTCTCCATGGACTTCTTTTAATCTTTCAGGTATTAGCTATTTTCAGCTAAACATAATGAGTAAAGGTTTTTTCATTAATACATCTGAAAAATCAACTGCACTTTATTCTGCTATATGCTATTATGTTAGATAGCACAATACAGTTAAACCTTTTGGACAAGATGCCAATGACATTCCACATATTTGCAGATAGAAGAGCGATCTCCCTCTCGCCAACGGATTTGATAATTTCCTCAATGACTTCCTCTGCGGTGGGAGCTGTAGCACAAGCAAGGAGTTCCGTAACCACCTCTCTCTCACCACCCTGTACCCCAAACTACAGGATCTCCTTCCCAGTACAACCCACTCCCTGCAGGGCAGTCCTCAGGTGACATAACTCTGGCACTTCACTGGGGACAACAGGGAGCATCAACAGCCAGCAGAAAAGTTCAGACTGACTCCCCTCACCGCTTCCTCCCCGCTGGCGCAGAGAGGCTGCGCAGGTGACAGTATCCCAGCTCTGGGAAGCAAGAGGTGACAGTCAGGCAGGGGCAAGGGCATGGACACACAGGGCATTACACAGACAGGAGACTTGTAAATGCCATGATACAACAGGCACCTGAATTTTTTTCTTGTTTTACCTTTGGTTTCATGAGGTACCGTTTTATACTTTCACATGGATTCTACAAATAGCCAGTCCTGCTCTGATTTAAGGACTTAACATAGTGAAATAAACCGCACTGATATGAATTATGCATTAATTAAATGCCGAACTTCTACATCACCGGTCTGTACCCTGCTGTTGTGCAATCAGCATTTTTTTTCCTGATGCAGACAGTGGTGCTCTCTCGCAATGCTACTTAGAAATCACAGCACGCTGTGTGAAATCTCCAATGCTATATAAAGTCAGATTATGAAACGATCCTTCACTAAGGTATTTTAACAGTGTTCCGTGAAACTCTTAACACTATTTACTCGTAGATTTGACATAATTTTAAATTCGTAACTCACTTCATTCTTAACCCCACACCTGCCTGGAATGTAACCAGGCAAACTTTACATAAACTCCAAATGAACTCTGCATATATAGGACCAAAGACTTTCTTTGATGCATTTTTTGTACTCTTAAGAAAAGCAATTTTGTGACTTAACACGTTTAAGAAAATTTAAAAAAAAAACCCTTCCATTGCAACTTTATGGCAAGAACAGAGGGAAAAAAAAAAAAAGACTGACCTGCATACACGAGCATGGTGATGAGAAGAGCAATCAAATGGACTCTGTATTTGGGATTAACACTTTCCACTCGCAGGATGGTCAGCTGGAAAACGACAGAAAAGAGCAGTTCTATGCAGAACGCCTGCGTCTCTGTGGTCTGCATGGGGTTGCTGCAGCTCTGTGAGAGTGCTCCAAAATGTGGCTCTGCCATCTCCAGGCTCCAGATAAAGCGCATAAACATTCTGGCGAGCACTGCAGCCACGAACTGAGCGGCGATCTTGAGTCCACCCATCTTGACCGGCATCCCACCGCCCCACATGGGCTGCAAGGTGCCACAGGGGTTGCAGGTGCTGCCGGTCAGGGTCAAGCCGTGCAGGACGGAGAAGCCGTAGGTGAGGGTGAGGGCGGTGTGCGGCTTCGGCTCCACGTTGCCGAGCAGGCAGAGCTCGTTAGTGCAGGCGCAAATCTGGAAGGTGCTAAACATCTCCAGCAGAAAAGCGCAAAGGCGCTGGCGGGAGCGCAGCCGGCGGCGGGTCAGTCTCCTGCACAGGCCCACCGTGGCCATGATG